GATCAATATACGTACTCGGCCCCCCTATACTTCAATCCTGGCTCCGCCACTGCTAACAAACTCCGAGAGGCTAGCTAGCTAACCAGCTAATGATCCTAGCTTACAAGAAAGGATAAGCACAAGTATAAAACATTGCCTTTGGTCGTCGCCGTGGAGACGGCGAGCTGGAGGAAGACGAGGACTGACTTGCATGGACAGCCACATTTTGGCTTGTGGTTTGTGTATTTTGTGTTGGAATCGATGATGTGAAGGAAGGCGTGCATTGATTTCTAGCTAGACATTGCATGCGTGCTACACACTCGCCCAGTTTCCACATGCGTTCTACTTTTTCTGTGTTTACACATGCGTACTCAGCTGTAGCATTGCAAACTGGCCATGTAATATCCAAGATCCAGGACGTGCAGATCATATCAACGGCACCTCCTTCCGAGCGCTCTTGCATGTGGCCGACGCACTGGCCCAGTTTGCGCAAGGACCAACGTACGCTGCATTGCTGCTCGGATTGAATGGGCCCAGGCAAGAGAGAAAAGGAAGAGGAGATGAAGATGACATGCAGGCCCAGGTTGTCATAGAGAGAAACGAGCGATCCCGGCCGGGATTATGCTTACAAACTGGTCTAGAATTGGTTTAGGGTTGAAAACGATCGGGATTGCAGATGATAGGGTACAAATTTCAGGGATTTAAAGGTGAGGATTTATTTACGAACGACGAGCTCTACAATCTCAAGGTTTAAATCAGACTTCACTCAATTCAAAACGGCTAATTCCAGGATGGAACAGCTCCATTTCACTTGGTGGCCGAGTCTGTCCCTCCAATCAAAGCGGTGTCAGTTGGTTGGATAACGATTGATTTGTTCGGCTCACCAACCCCCTCCTCACCTAACACTCAAGGAAAAACACCTCACCTAACACTCCAGAGATTCTAGGTGCAATCTCTATCTACCACTGTACACAATATGTGTTTGGTAGCATCTTCTTCCCCTCGTGGATCGATCGATGATGGATACCTGTGGCCGGCACCAGCTCGGATGATTTTCAGCTGGAGCCCCTCACTGTGTCACTGGAGCAAACACAAAGAGAATTGCATCGTCGAACATGCATACAGATACAGGGAGAAAACACACAATAATAAAACAAAATACGGTTAGGCCTTGCGAATTTCTTTACTCAACTAGAATGTGATGTATATATACTGATGAAAATAAAAAAACAAGAGGGGGTAGGCCGTCCAACGGATGGTGGGACCCGGTCGCCGAACAAGGTGTTGAAAGTGCAGACGACGGGGAAAGGTTCAGCTCAGCCGCTTTGCTGACCCTCTGCTTTTGTTTGGGTTCGACGCTGCCTCCGTTTTTTTTGTGGCTAAAAGGAGCAGTATCGGCTAGTGGAAAGCAAGCACGATGGCAGGGAGATTTTTGCCCCTCCTCCTGCAGACGTCTCCTCCTTGAATCAGACACACCACGCCACACCACCAGGCAGGAAAAGGAGGCAGGAGAAGAGAAGGCTCTCCTCCTTGTAGCAGGCATCATCGGTTCTATCAGCAAGCAATTCAGGTTAGTGCCTTATTTTCTCTTGATTTTCTTGTGGAAGTATCATCTTGATTCACATCTTCTTCCAAGAATTGGAACTTAGATACTACTGTAGTTTCTTCTTTCTTGGTGTGTGCTGTATTTAGCTGAGACTGACTGCGAATTGGATAGTGCGCGGGTTAAAATGAACTAGCTAGGGTTTGGTCAGCTCGCAGTTCTTCCATGGGCAGCTCCGATTTTCTATCAGTTGTTCTTTTGATTGGCAATCAGTTCCTCTGTACTAGTAGAACGAATGAATTCTCAAGTGACTGACTGATTGATTTCCTTCATGCGCGCATCAGGTTGGCAGGGCGCAAAGAAATTGGGGATTTTTCCCTGTGCAGTCAGTGTTCTTGGAGACGGGCATGCGCCGCGTTCGAGTCTCGTCTCACCACTCTCCGGTCCAGAAGCTGGGCGATTCCGACATGAAGCTGACGCCCAGGTTCCGGCTCGCCGGCACCACCTCACCGTCCTCAACCGAACCGGAGCAGCAACCTCCATGGGAGATGCCCCTCATCCCGGGCCTCCCGGACGACGCGGCGCTCAACTGCCTCCTCCGGCTGCCCGTGGAGGCCCACGGCGCCTGCAGGCTCGTGTGCCGCCGCTGGCGCCACCTGCTGGCCGACAAGGCGCGCTTCTTCACGCACCGCAAGGCCATGGGCCTCCGCTCGCCCTGGCTCTTCACGCTCGCCTTCCACCGCTGCACGGGCAAGATCCAGTGGAAGGTGCTGGACCTCGACTCCCTCGCCTGGCACGCCATCCCCGGCATGCCCTGCCGGGACCGGGCCTGCCCCCGCGGCTTCGGCTGCATCGCCGTCCCGGGCGAGGACGCCGCCCACCTGCTCGTCTGCGGCGGGCTCGTCTCCGACATGGACTGCCCGCTGCACCTGGTGCTGAAGTACGACGTTTGCAAGAACCGCTGGACCGTCGTGCCCCGGATGCTCTCGGCGCGCTCCTTCTTCGCCGGCGGCGTCATCGACGGCCGCGTGTACGTCGCCGGGGGATACAGCACGGACCAGTTCGAGCTGGACTCGGCGGAGGTCCTCGACCCGGTGAACGGCGTGTGGCAGCCGATCGCCAGCATGGGCGCCAACATGGCCTCCTCGGACTCCGCCGTCGTCGGCGGCAGGCTCTACGTCACCGAGGGCTGCGCGTGGCCCTTCTTCTCGTCGCCGAGAGGGCAGGTGTACGACCCCAAGGCCGACCGCTGGGAGGCGATGCCGGCCGGGATGCGCGAGGGGTGGACGGGGCTCAGCGTGGTCATCGACGGACGCCTCTTCGTCATCTCCGAGTACGAGAGGATGAAGGTGAAGGTCTACGATCCGGAGACGGATTCCTGGGATCCTGTGGACGGGCCTCCCATGCCCGAGCGGATCATGAAGCCTCTGTCCGTGAGCTGCCTGGAGAGCAAGATCGTCGTCGTCGGCCGTGGTCTCCATGTGGTCATCGGCCATGTCAAGAAGCAATCTTCTTGTGATTACTTGGTTCGTTGGCAGGATGTGGAGGTTCCCAGGGCGTTCAGCGATCTCACGCCTTCAAGCAGTCAGATTCTACATGCTTAACTCTTCTGCCTCTAGAATAAATAAAAGCTCTCTTAATCTGCCAAAAGAAAAGCCTTGTTTGATGCTTCTGTATGTAATTGTTATTAGTAGACTCTTTCTTGCTGTCATCTTGTATAATCTGCAAATGATGATGTATCGGTAAAGAAACAATTCGAGACTGTACTAGATGTTTCTGGGTACTGAACTAAACTGAACTGTTGCATTTCACTTCTTATCTTAGACTGATCCGACTTGTTGCTGAATTTCCAACTAGTGTAGTACATTTGTAGTCTCCATTTGTGCCAGATGATTGGACGAAAAAGTTAACTGAAATCCCCATCTACCTACGTGTAGGCACTGTCCACCGCAAACGCTAGTCCACAACAGCACAAGAATCCAACCCAAAATGCCCTCTTGTCTTGTGGCCAACATCAATCCACCAACTGAAACCTGACATTGAAAATAGTAGGCAACTGAACCAATTTTCAGTCAGACATGGTTTTCAGCTGCTGCTGCTGACAAATCCTGAATTTTTCCCTTGTGAAAACTGAAGGATTTGCGGAGACCGAAGCAGCAGCGCCGCAGCCGCCAATGGAGGCGCTCTACCTGCTGGCCTCCCTGGCCACCACCATCCTCACCTCCACCCTGCTCTCCCTGCTCCTCCTCCTCCGCCTCCCCTTCGCCCGCCGTTCCGCTCCCGGCGGCACCGGCGCCGGCGCCGCGCGGCTCTACGAGGGCCGCGTCCGGCACTCGCGCCGGCGGCCGGCGGGGCACGCCTTCGAGTACGCCGTGCGCTACGCCCTCGTGGACCTCGACCTCCTCCCCCTCTCCGGCCACCTCTCCGCCGCCGAAGCCCGCAGCATCGCCTCCACTTCAGGCCCCGTGTAAGGCCCTGAACCCCTGACGCCCTGCGATGCATTTCTCAACTCTCTGACACGTCTCGTGAACAAATCTCACACCACTTCTTGCACGCTATTGTAAAACCACATTGCCTGTTCTAGTATGTAAAAAATATTTGTATTGCAAAAGCATAACTAGGATTTTTGTTGTTGTTGTAAATTTTGCTCATTTGCGCTGAGGTGAGCTAGTTCTTTGTTGTTTGATAAAGGCGTCTCCTGACGGTGCCCAAGAGCGTGGGATACGAACAGAACCCACTAAGCGTCTACTACTGCTATGACGCAGCGGCGCAAGGACAAAATGAAGACCTCAAGATGTGCATCGCTGAAGTGAGGCATCTCCTCTGTGTTGGATTCATGTTGATTGGTTTTTAGTTAGCTCATTGCATTGTTTTCCTTTTTCTTCTTTTTGCGAGGGTCATTACATTGCTGACTGTCTAATATTTTACTATTGGTTTCAGGTCACAAATACTCCCTGGGGGGAGAAGGTGATGTTTACCTTCCAACCGGGTTCCGATCTCGTTGCAAAACCTTTACATGTCAGCCCCTTCATGGTATGGTTCTCATCTTATAGAATATACATGGAGGTGTTCATTCGGACAAATGTGGGCGTGATGAACCGTGAATTTTTTAGGCAAGAAATATACAAAAAAGTTGTGAATTACTCTGTTTGCTCCTTTTCTCAAATGAAACATTTTTGGCTCTATCCTGTTGCATACGGTGCTCACTGCATAATATTTTTCTGATGGCTCACAAGTGACAACTAATGGTGTTTATACTATGCAAATTGTCTGCTGGTTTCTAGTTTCTGCTAATTTGGACTTGTTATATCCGATCCACTACCATTAATTAGTCCATTACATAATCTTAGTGGCTTTCCTTTTTGTTGTGTGACCTCTAGGATATGTCTGGCAATTGGAGTATTCGTGCTGATGCCCCCGACAATAATCTATACGTGGCTATTGCGGTTCAGCATCCAACACTTGGGAACTATTTTACTGCAGCTTTGGATGCCAAGTTAGTTGGTCAGACGAATGACTCAGTTAAGCTAGCAACATTCTTTTGGCTGATGCCTCATAAGGTTGCTGCAGGGATATACTGGGAGGTAACTTTCCTATGTTCAATGCTCCTGTTCTGGTACCATGCTTATGTTTATGGTTACATTCTCATATACTCCCTCCGTTCCTAAATAAGTCTTTTTAGACGTTTCAAATGGAATGCAACATACAGGTGTATGTAGACATATTTTAAAGTGTAGATTCACTCATTTTGCTTCATATGTAGTCACTTTGTGGAATCTCTAGGAAGACTTATATTTCGGAACGGAGGGAGCATAACGCTATCCTCATAGACAGTCTTTCAGATATTTTTAGATCAACTTGTTCGTTACTTCTCTTTCCTATGTTGATCATTTGATTCTTGAATTATCTTTCTTGGTTGACCAACTGGACTAATATGTATAGATAATAGAGCTTAGTTAAGAGTTTTCTTTTTGATCTACGACATCTCCGCCATTAAAAATATTGAGAAAAGCTTCAAAGTTTTTTAAGAGTTTATTCCAATTTTCACCCCATAGTTGAGACTTTGTGACAGCTGTTATCCCATTTACATAATCTTGATGCATTTCATCCGCTACTTCAGACCTTTTGACAGCTTTAACCCGTTTAGTTATTTACACAAACTTGACAAGGTGGGATCTTAGGATATGTATTCGTTGGAGATGTAAGGAATTATGTTAAGTCTCATCAAATTTTATGAAATGGTGTCAAATTTTGTCAAATAGGTGCAGCTGGCCGCATTGTGCTGCCCCTGTGCCGTGTCAAATATTGTCTTTAATGATACAGGTCTGAGTTGTCCACCAAGTTAGCTGCGACATCATACTGACATATGGGTCCACCTTGTCAATTTGGAGAAAATAATAAAGTAGGGTAAATGCCATCACATGGACACAACTAAGGGTAAATTGTGGCAAGATTTTTTAAATGGGGTAAATGACTTCACAACTCAAGGGGTCAAAATCAAGGGGTAACTGTGGAATATACTATTTTTATGATCTCTATGATTGTATTTTCACCCCATAGTGGAGACCTTATGACAGCCGTTATCCCAGTTACATAATCTTGCCGTATTTTATCCCTTACTTCAGACCTTTTGACAGCTTTTATGCCGTTTTGTTATTTACCCAAACTTGACAAGGGGCGGCGTGGCAGCTAATTGGTTGACAGCTCGGATATGTATTCGTTGTAGATCTAAAGAATTGTGTTAAGTCTCGTCGGATAATAGTGTCATTTTTTGTCAAACTGGTGCAGCTAGCCACGTCGTGCTGCCCCTGCGTGATGTCAAATATTGCCCCTAGTGAATAACATGTCTGAGTTGTCCACCAAGTCAGCTGCGACATCATCCTGACATATGGGTCCACCTTGTCAATCTGAAATATTGCCCCTAATGAATAACATGTCTAAGTTGTCCACCAAGTCAGCTGCGACATCATCCTGACATATGGGTCCACCTTGTCAATCTGGAGAAAATAATAAAGTAGGGTAAATGCCATCACGTGGTCACAACAACGGGTAAAATGTGGCACGATCTTTTAAATGGGGTAAAAGCCGTCACAACTCAAGGGCTAAAAATTAAGGGTAAAATGTGGAATGTGCTATTTTTAGGATCTCTATATTGGATTTTTGTTTAAACATTATGTTTTTTTTAATAAATGCAGCAGCGCTGCTTTTCATTGCCGTTAAGTTAGGGGGAAAGTACACAAGGTTAGTACATTGTGCAAATGGAAAGTAAAGAAGAAAAGCTGTACATGAACTAGCAGATTAAACTAAAGGTGGGGAAACTATGGCTGTGACGGCTGGGATTGATTTATGAGAGAAAACCGAAACATTAGTGCTGTAGCAACAGTTTGCCCCCCTTCAGGCCAGACACTTTCTATTCGTCTATCTCGTCAGAGAGAAGCTGTGACAGCGCAGTCAGTGACTTGGCTTCATTGCAGAGGACCATGTTGGCATTATTTTTCTCCGGTCATCTGCGTGCAATCCATTATTAGTTGTCCTTTATGACAGGATGAGTCAACTTAAAATCACAAAATTGACATGATGTGCGCATTTCAAACACAGAATTCAGTGACATGAACTGTTAAAAGTTCAGAAGGCTGTTCTTCTGGAAATCGTACTAAGCACGTAAGCATTGCTCAAGAAATAGCTGATGTTGGGTACAAAAGTTCAACTAAACATCCTGACTGAGTTATCAGTTTCATCGCGAAATTAAATTGGGGGCGGGGAGCTCCTTAATTTGAAAAGGAGGTTGAAGTAAACATTGGTATTTCATATCTCCCGTATCGGATTTTGAAGTTGCAGGGCACAGGATATCTTTAATACTTGAGCTAGAACTATGATCAAACAATTGGGAGTTGTAAATTTGAAACGACTGTACTATCAACACCAAGATGGTCCAAGTAATTTGGCAGATGCACCCTTGAAGAGTATGCTGGTTGTTGGTTGGAGCATCATAAATCTATATAATTCTCACTGTCACTAAAATTAGGAGATAGCTTGTTTCATATCCTGAACTAACATTTTCTCTACGTTTCACTGTGCATTTTGCGTGTATACATGCATTTGTGGCCCTTGATCTTAAGTAGGGCTAGAATGAATTGTCTATTCAGCGTAGCTTTGAATCATCTCTTTAAAATGCTTCAGTCAGTCGATTGTTACTGGACATAGTTTACGCCTTTTGAGGTTAAGCAAGCTCATGTAATCTTTGTTGATGTTCCTCTGCTCCTCTTCAGGCCTTCAGGCTTTGGTTGAAGAATGTGAGATTCCTAGACCATCCGAGGTACCTGAGCGGGAGCTACAGGTCCGAAGCTCTGAAGCGCGACCTTGAGATCCGTTCCTCCTGCAGCTTCCTGCATCAGAAACCCAGAGAGAGCATTGGGAGAAGCAGCACAGCAACGACCGATGAAACAACAGAAAACTCGAACCATCAGGATTACAAAGATGGCAGAGGGAGCATCGGGGTGAGGTGGTGCGTCTGGAGGAATGCTCAATGGCCATGGTGCTGATGGTAACACCAACAGGGAGAAATCATTTATAGTAGATGAGATTATTTTTTGAAATCCTCCAAGCTATGTATGATTGAATCAAAGCTATTTTGTTTTCTAGGGTATCTGCAATCAATGGAAAGACACATTGTTTTTCTCTTTCCATATTTATCTGTCAGGATTTTTAGTAGTGATTTCCTCCCTACATTTTGGTGTTGTGTGATCTTTGCTCTCCCCCAGATGACAAATTTACTCGATAGCAGGTTCAAAGATATAGAGATGCAAGGTATAGCACAAACTGAAGAAACAGGGATTGCTTGCACAAACTATATAAATTGTGAAAAAACAAAACCACTGAGCAGATCATCGTCTGTCCTTATTTTGAATTACATAAACAGGAATAATAGTTACATGATTTTTTTAACAAAGAAAATGGTAAATTGTTAGCCCCAAATGCCTGATCCAGATCCACCACTACCCACGGAAGCGTCTGTCGGCCGTGCTGCTATTTGACCTATACTACAGTTTCACTCCAGAGTGAATGGCAACTACACCGCCCACCAGATTTTCATATTCGACCGCTTCAAATCCAGCTTCCTGGATCATCTGAGCAAACTTTTCCTGGAAAGTAAAAGTAGTTTGATCAGCAGACATGCGGAACATATACAGACACATGAAATGCTTGAAAAGTGTTGTAATCTTGCATTCTTCAGCTTTATATCTTTTGCTGTGACAGGAACAGTCAATGTCAATACTGTTTTACAAGGTACTAATTACTCCTAGATAATCTAGAGGTTTGATATATGGTAGAAATCACTAAAAAGCAAGAAGTTTCGAAGAAACCAGTCAGCTCAGTAACAGGAAATGCTTTAGAAATGCTGATCTTCACCTGTTTTGGAAACCGACGAATGCTCTCGACCAAGTATTGGTACGACTGCCTATCACCAGCAACTAGCTCTCCCACAGCCGGAATCACAGAAAATGAATAGATGTCGTAACTGGAGGAAAAAAATGGATAGTGAACTTCCAAAAGTTCAGAGAGAAATAATCGAAACAGTAGAACACAACATTAACATTACTTTCCACAAAAGCACTGGGAAGATATTTTTTTGGGAAGGATGAGACAACACTATGATTGAAGCAATAAACAAAAAAGGGTCATTTCTATTTGTACCAAATAAACGATAACAAGAAACATGAGCCTACTTAGGGCAAGTTCAGCCGATGTTTAACACATAGCCAAATTGGTTGCTAACAGATTATAACTTTGTTGCAGTGCCTACTACAAATGCTGAAAACGAACAGTGCAGTTTAATTGTAGGACCGGCATCTGCTTGTTTAATTTTAACAGAATGTTGAAGACATTTCTCATACAAATTTATCCTACAATGCTGGCATACTTGACCAAAGAAAACTTACATGTCTTTAAAAACTGGAACATCTACATGACTCAACTCCAAGCATAGGAACCTTCCTCCTTTCTTTAGAACTCTGAAACACACAAATCCATGTGAAACTGATTAGATGCAAAGAACAGAAACCCTAGGCAGATTTCACACGCAACAAATCCTACAGCATAGTAGAAACTTCAGGAGATCAAAACTGAGACTGGGGTATGATCTGTTAGTTGGTTCAGGATTTTTATGTGGCCCACCTGTAAGCTTCTGATAGAGCTTTCTCAATGTGTGTAACATTTCTGATCCCAAATGCAATAGTATAGCCATCCATAGACCCATCCTCAAAAGAAAGAGCTTCTGCATCTCCCTGTACCCAACTAAGGCACTGCTCTTCATTGTAGCCTGAAATAAGAATAACCTGTCAGACAACAGAACAACATTTGAAATTAAGGTGGCATGATGAAATGAGTTTCATGAACCACGACCTTTTTCGGTAGCACGCTTCTTTCCAACATCTAGCATATTTGGATTAATGTCACAAACATAAATGTGAGTGTCTTCTTCCATATCAGTAAGAGTACCCTGCGTAGCTCTGTGGCTCACACTCTTAATTCTTTCGACTACACGGAACGCAACATCCCCTGGTGTTGACATAGAAGAAATGCCAGGTACATTATTTCACATTTCATAACGAGTGTTCAAGAGCATTGGCAATATATTGGTGCAGAAACTTCTTAGCAGCATAACATGTCAAAAGGAAGTCATTCATAAATAAAAAGATACAGTAGCAACAGGAAGACAAGGTGTACACTGTGCAATCAATCTAGAACAAGGCTATGATAAGCTGAGCATCACATAATTTTTAGAACAAAGAAGAGGTCCTTACTTAAATGCATCACTTTGTAGAGGAAATATGGACAATAAATCTTGCATTGCCACATGGAGGGAGGCAGAACAGAAATTTAAATACTTATTGTGTTAACGATCAACATTAGTACATAAATCATGACAGAGAATGAACGAGGAGTCTATCACAGACTAACATAGAGATATCATTAGCAACAGGAAATGCATAATTCTTATGTTAGGGAAAGGATGGACATGGGAACAATGCTGAGGAATCAGTATGAAGTTTGTGTAAGGTAAGCCATCCCAGAACATGCAATTTGGGAGAGCCACAGTACCAAGACATCTGATTCCACTAAATTCGTTTGTGACTCTCTATGTTGTCATAATTGCGTCAATCTGATGATTCCCATCTTATATTCTGAATGAGGGTATAGTGCTAGAAGGACACCCCTGTTAACTAACTAGGAGTATTATTTTACCTGTCCCACCGGCCACGTCGAGGTGCTTCATCCCGGGAAAAGGATTCAGCTTTGAGATCAGCCTAGAAAAGAAGTCAGAAGAATTCGGTAAGAAGAACGAATCCCCATTACAGAGTGATGGACTGAGCTCCACTGACCAACCTGTCCTTCCAGAGCCTGTGCAGCCCAGCGCTCATGAGGTCGTTCATGACGTCGTAGCTGGAGGCGACGCTGCTGAATACGTTGCCGACCAGCTTGCTCTTCTCGTCCTCGCGCACCTGCTTGAATCCTGACGAGGAACGAGGCGGTGAGCAGCAAGCATGCCACGAGAGAGGGGGCGACGAGGGAGGAAGTGGGGCGTACCGAAGCTTGTGGCGTGGGAGTGGAGGAAGGCCGATTGGCTGGCGGTGGCGGCCGCCGGCAGGAGGTGGCCGTGGCGGCGGCGGAGGCTGGAGGACGCCAGCCTCGCGGCGGCCGCTCGCAGAGCCATGCCCTTCCTTCCTCGGCGGCGCGAGATGGCCGGTCCGATCCCGGAGTAACAGACAGCCGCCGGCGGGGGGAACGGGGGAGAAGGGGGGCACGGCGGCGACGGCGGTGCGTGCGGAGATGCGAGCGACACGGCGACCAGGGGGAGAGAGGGGGTCTGTGCTGTTCTCTCGGCTTGCTGGGCCGCGTTTTATTTTTTTGAGGACTTGCTGGGCTGCGTCGCTTTCCGCAAGCCTTTGTCGGCCCTGCAGTCACGGGCCGCATCTCCCCTCGTGCCGCCCAAGGCCCAAGCGGTGTAGCACAGGGAATCTCGAGGATTCCTAAACCGAGGAGGAAAAAAAGAGAGCAGGTTAATTACCCTCGCCGCCGCGAATCCCCTCCCCTCCACTCGCCGCCGTCCCCGACAGCAAAGAATCGCCTAGCGAAAATCCTTGCGGCTCGGATTCCGGCGGCCGCCGCCGCGATGAAGCTCGTCCACCGCAATCTCGCCCGCAACGGGCCCGGCTCCGCCAAGGTCTTCCTCTCCTCTCTCCCCTCCCCCACCCCTCCCTCTCGGCGCGCTCTGTTTGAGGAGCGGCCCGGGCTGGCCCCTGGTGGGGTTCTTTGGGCGTGGCTGCTGACTAGCTCGCTCCTGTGTTGGTGTTGCGCAGCTGCTGCCGGAGGAGGAGGACGACCTGTGGCACGCGTACAATCTCATCGCCGTCGGGGACAGCCTCCAGGCCGTCACTGTCCGGTGGGTTCTCCTTTTGCATCGTGGTGCTTGTGTTACTTTTTGGTTCAGCTCATGTGCTCTATGCACACTATGCTAGTAGTAGTTAGCAACCGAGTCCTCTGGTGGATGCTGCAGCCGCCATAATTTGCTCTCCCCGGTTTGGCACTTTCTGATTGCTAGTTTCGAAGTACTCTTATGGATCTCGGTCGACCATTGCAAGTGCAAGCAGAGTTAGGGTAGGTTCCTGCATGGGAGGCATGGTTTGCCAGGTGAAGAAAAACAAAAATAAGGTCGAGCTGGCTATGATGGGTATTTCTCAGCTCTTGACCGTGGTTTGTGGAATTGTACACCATTCGCGTGATGACTTGTCTCTCCTTCATGATACTCCCTCCATAAAGAAATATAAGAGCGTTTAGATCACTAAAAGTAGTGATCTAAATGCTCTTATATTTCTTTACAGAGGGAGTAGTATAGTTGTGACAAGTTCAAGCCTCTGTCCAAGGGCCTTCTAGTTATCTGGTATACCATGGAAACTCATAATCCCCTCGAAATTGATCATCTTCTTCTGTTCGTTTACAGGAAAGTTCTCAGGGATTCTGCTTCTGGAGGACGTGATGCGGAGCGCGTGAAGCTAAAGTTGGAAATTGTAGTTGAGGTGATATTGTCTGTTTATTCGGTATTCCCATCGAGTGACTTTGTTTAGTTGGTGGTTCTAGCTGTAACCATTTTGGCTTCCAACATTAGGCATCATCGTTGTTATGACTGCGTACTTTTTGACATCACAGATGGAAGGTGGTAGGGGATTAGCATACTGGCTGCAAAAGCTTAGAGTTATTACTGATTCTAGATCATATCTGTCGGATATGTACTGAAATGGCTCAAGTAATACATGACCTGAAAATTAGAGAAGGGATGCAGTTGTGTAGGTCTTATATGCATGTTGCTGCCACTGCGTTAGAATAATAACGTAGCGCTTTCCTTGCAAAAAAAAAAGAGTTGTATAATGAGCACCTAATGAAGCATCATCACTTGATAACTCGAAAATGCATTGAGCAGAGGTAATAAGGCACCATGCCTAGGAATTAACACCTTATACATCGCTTTTCTTTGTTTTGTTTATTGTTCTTTCCGATGCTATAAAAAACAAAATTATATGATTTTCTAATTTGATAATGACACGATTCTTTATCTTGGGCATAGTCTGTAGATTATGACAAGGAGGGGAACGTTTTGCGCGTCCGTGGCAAAAATATTACTGAGAATGATCACGTGAAGATTGGCCAGTTTCATACTTTAGAACTTGAGCTGAAGAGACCTTTTGTTCTACGAAAGGTATGCCCAAAAGTTATTTTAAGCTATTGTACCTGTTTACTCTGTGGACTACCATATTGGTTTACAATTGATGATAAGTACAGTACCCTTTGCTTAAACTTTTAATCAGTTTTAATTTTGGACATGACTCTGAAAATCTAAATGGACTCTTTCTACTTGTGTAGGAATATTGGGATTGGTTAGCACTTGATACCATCCAACAAGCATGTGGTATGTGATTTATCTTCGACAGATATTACAGCCTTTATCATTATCTGCTTCACTGCTACTGCTTCACAAAAGAAAAAAGACAGTATTTTAATTGTGTGCACTTAAACCTCTTCAGATCCTACTGCAAGTGCTGATCTAGCAGTTATTCTTATGCAAGAAGGACTTGCCCACTTATTCCTTATTGGGAGAAGGTATCCAAAACCATTTTTCACTCGCTGAACATAATATTTCATTGTTTTCTCTTCTTGAATTGCTTTAAATAATTAGATCCCATGCAAGTCATGCTAAATATGATTATTTCATAGGATAACCTTACAATAAGCTTGTCTGATTCTCTCATGATAAGCATACCTCATGAAGTTACATTGACCTTTGCACCCTTTTGATGAGGTTCTATTATCCAAGCGACCATTACCTTAAAAGTTGACTTTCCGTTTT